TTGGGTGGCGGTGGAGACAAAAACAACAAAGCCTTTCTTTTCCCTTTCCTTTTTTTTTGAAGGGAAAGTACAAATCCCGTACATTCATTGCACCCCTTTTTGTCACATTGACGTTTTTCTTCAATCTTTTAATAAATTAGACATGATGATCATCATCAATATATGCAAAACAAGGGCTCTTGCCAGCCAGTCTCAGACTGTCTCTGTCTCTGTCTCCCTTTTATTACCGTAGTAAAAATCGGGGATGGTTTAATAATTGCAAAAGTTTAAAATAAAATTTTTAATTAAAATTAAGAAAAATTTTATTAAAACTTTTAGCTGAATTTTTTAATTCAATGGATCAATAAATTAAAATAAAAAAGCTTACAAATATTAAAATAATAGTATCTAATTGTTGAATGCTTAGTGCTAACAGCAAATAAGGCTCACCGTTTTATAAAAATAATAGTATAATAGATTTTTTGTATATTCTTCAAAAGAAAATGAAAGTTAATGAAAAAAGGAACAATGAAAAAAAGAGAAATTCAAAAATAGATATTATGAATGAAAAAAAGTATTTGATTATATACATAAAAAAATAGCTATCGGAAATAATTAAACGCGTTAATTGATTGAAAATAGAAAATATAGTTGAGAAAAAAAACTGTAGGAGATCATTAAATATATATTAATGTTAGTTGATTGAAAATAACAAAAATAATTGAGAATTAATAGTATTGTAAGAATTGAAAAGTAATAAAAAAATTAGATTTATTAAGCACATAATTAGAGAAGTGATAGAATATCTTATTTTATTAATTATTTTGACTTTTATATGAGAAATGAGTCAAATAATTAAAACATAATAAAAATGTGAAAAAAAGATAAAATACATATTTTTTAAGTCTAAGAGAATAGATAAATATTTTATTAATTATATTATTTTTTATATATTTTTAATATAATTAATTATGTTATTGTTATAAATTAGATAATTATTAAATTTATAAGTAAGAGTTTTCTTTTGTTACGATAAATACATGTTACGATTATTAGATAAGAGTTGTACATTTCATATCTCCTGTGTATTAAAACTATTTTTAACCTGTTGATTTGGATTATGTGTGTGTCACGTGACATGCTATTAACGTACTCACTTACAGCGGAAAATAAACCTATTGTTTGTGTTTTTTAATATTCTCTGCAGCAGAGTCTTCGGATGGTGGGATATTATATAAAGCTTGCGAAGAGATATGGCATCACGTGACACGGAAGAGTGGTGGTGATCCCGAAGCATCAGCAGGGCACGTGCATAGCCATGTGCCTATAAACATGATGGATTATAATACTCTCACGTGACATGATGATCCATTTAATTACGCTAAAAAAGTACAACAACTATTTACTTTACTTCTCTTTCTAACTACTTGTGCTACAATTTCCTACTATTAGTTTTTTCTTTTTTTTGAAAGGCATTTTGGATATTCCTTGATTTAAATGTATTTTTAATCGTTTCCAAATTAAATTTATATCTAATGTATTGTTAATATTTAATATTTATAATTTTAAAAATATTTATATGAAATTTTTATATATTTTTAAATTGATATTTTATAATTAAATGATAATATATAAATATTACGAGGAAAGATAAATTGAAGCATCACTATGATACTGCAACATTGAATTGTTTAGACTTGGGCCCGGTACCCGAACAAATTGATGTTCAAACATTACTTTTAATGGGCCCGAAGGGCCCAAATATGCATTCACGTGGGCATCGTACACCCCAATGAGACAGCCCGATCTTGAGAATAATAAAATTTGGTCCTCCACGTGTAAAAGATCATTTAACAGTCTTGCTCATTAGGATTTGCCTCTTCCTTTTTTGGGTAAAAAACACTAGATTATTTAGTATGTATATATAACATAGAACTTGTACGAATTGGGCCAATTCATCATAATAATGCCCATAAATAAGCCATAGGAAATTAAGGTAAAGATTAACCAGAAAAACAGAACCTCAATCCTTCCGGAATGATGGGCATATTCTGTTCCGACAAGCACTGCTGAAATCGTGCTTCATCAAAGCAAGGATATACAGCTATGGGGAACCCCTACACCCCCGATTACGTAGAAGCAACATGTTGATAAGAAGCAAGGTGGGGAAGGATACCATAAACAACCTGCTGTAAATGCATGTGTGCCAATGTGTAGAATCACATGGCCTTTTCTTCTACGTACAACATGACCATTGCCAATGGGACATTTCCAAAATCTGCACTCAATGAAGTTACATCGAAGAGATAACTCTTAATTGATAACAGCAATATGGTACACCCGAGTAACACAACGACAAGTACACGTCGACCCAACCCTTAATTGAGGACCGAAACCTTACAGCTTATGTGTCAAGGTCAAAGAAAACCAAGAAGCCATCAATCATAGTCTTTCCACGAATTTTGAAAGTACAAAGTACCTAAGCAACCTGCTCAGCCATGTCGAGAAAACATAACAACCAAAGAATAATGCCATGGGTGATGTGTCTCAATCTCAAAGCAAACTACAAGCTGCAAAATAGTGGCCATAAATTATTTGGCTCTATTAACATACAAAATTACAGTTATATTTGACTATCTAAGGAAAACTCTGCTAAAGCAGAATAACAAGATATGTCAAAAGTTGGACAGTAAGCAACCAACAGGTATAAAGATACATAAGCCTGAAAATAAACTCCTCAGTGAAAAGGCCACTACCTCATCTCCTCCTCCTCTTTCTGTGTCTTTCACTTTCATCGGAACTTGATGAATTTGACTCTGAGTCAGAACTAGCAGTTTCTGAATCAGATGAACTCATGCCCCCAGATTCAGACGGGCTCGAGCCCCCAGATTCTGGTTCTGCTTCTGAATCAGATGCTGTTTTCTGTTGTTGCATGATAAGCCGTGGCATGTTCTTCAAATACTCACGCAAATTCTCAGTGATACCACCAAGCCCAATGGAAGTGAAAAAGTTGATGGAAAATCGCGTGTTCTTGGGATTATCTCTTGGGAAAATAGATTCAAATGAATCCTGCATCGTGGGATCTGAAAGCCGCTCATTCAGTCTGCGAATTCCAAGATGCTCTGATAATTCCTGTACCATTACCAAGTATCAAAATCAACATAACAGCTTTATGCAGGAAAAAGAAATCAAATAGTTGACCAGCATATGAGATAAGTTCTAGACAAGAAAAATGAAAAAAATGAGTGAAACAAAAGGTTTGTTTCCAAACAGAAGATTACACTTTGTGATGTTTCTCAATTTATCCACCAACTAAACTCATTTATCCTAACGTTTCCAATTTCCTACAGGAAATGGATTTGTTATCACTTGAAATGCCTCAGAACCGGATATGATAGAAATCAACATGCTAATATTTGTTTTATATCATTTAAGTACCCTACTTTAAACCAACTGCGCAAATGCACATGTAATTTGGTTCATATTTTTACCCAACCCAAAAGAATTGGCAACTTTGTTACTTACAGATGAAAAGAAACAGGTAAAAAAACGAATACTCTTTGACTTACCTGGAAGAGAATCTTGATGAAAATTCGGGAAGAAGAAGTTGTGTCTTCCTCAGTTAATCGTATATAGGCTACCACATGCCAGGGCAGAGCATCTGTGCCAAGTAAATGTGCAAAAAACTTCGCCACATTACGTAACTTGTTTGTTTCAAGACGATGAATCATAGAATACTGCTGAACGAAGCATTTATCAAAATTTTCCTGATAGACTTTGTTGATCATGCAAAAACGCTGCCCCAGAAGACCATAATATCGAAGGTAAGTTCTCTCTTGACTGCAGCACTCCAACAGCATAACACATAACTCCATCTGCACAACCAAAATCAAGGTGACAAGTTTCTTAGAATGCAACAATAGGAAACAAGAAAACTGACTCCACTGTAAAAGAAAAGGAAAGCTATTCAGTTTTGCAAGAGAGGGAGAGTAAATACATATACTCTGCAAAGAAAGAAGGAAAATATTGAGTTTTCTTGAGGAAAGGCAAACACCTCTGATTGACTTACAATAATTGCACCATCATTTGTATCACCTTACCTCTTGACCTGGCTCAAGCTTAATTTTCAGCAGCTTGTGTCCAGCCTCTTCAAAATCTACACTGGACATGATTGTCAGGTAGATTGTCCTCCGAAGGTTTATAAGGTTTGTCTCTGTCTCATCTTTTATTTTCATCTGCTGCTCATCTTCTTCATCAGTTTCATCATCATCATCGTCATCCTCCTCATCACCAGAAGCCACATCAGACCCCTCTTCATCATCGGATTCCTCACCAAGAATGGTTTTCTTCAACTCTTCATAACGCTTTTCATTCTCCAAGAACTGAGGATCTGGTTTAAAAATGTCTGCACGAAGGACAATTAAAGGTATTTACAATCACATACCACAGCGACTGAACCAAGCAGGGTGAGTCATCAGTAAAAGAATAGCTAAAGACATTTTGAGACATACCAAGGGTGATCTCTGGATCTATCTCATCTTGGAGAGATATTTCATGAGTTAATTGGTCCTCGTTCTCAACAAGGTCTAGTTCTGAACGAACAGCAGGGTACCCCTGGGAAAACAAAGTTTTAAGTTGTTGCTATTGTTTGATGCTGCAAAGGAATGTGTGACCTAAAATTTTCAAAGGAATTCAAAAGAATTATTTAGGGGAAATGAAAGACACCTGAAACTTGGCTTTCCTTATAGCAAATAAGCCCTCTATCAGAAATTGAACACGTTTATCTATCTCCCCTTCATGAAGAATGCCCCGAAAACGCTCAAAAATACCTGTAAACACAACATGCAACATTAATTGAGAAGGACAACAAATGAATAGTCTTATAAGGTACCAGTAAACTAGAGTCACCAAAGGTGTGTGTGTGTGAGAGAGAGAGAGAGAGAGAATAACCAAAACTTTTTCCTTTACTTTGTTTCACAGAAAATTACACAAACACTAAACTAAATTTCTATTATTAATTGTAAATAGCTTCCTGCAGTAACCGATACAAAGCAACCAAGATGATGGAATTCAAACACCTAACAAATAAAGTCATATCATAATATAGTTTTTACCATTGTGGATGAAATATTTTTAAAACCAGTAAACAGTAGCTTTTTCAAACCTAACTCATCTAAGAGACCAGCATGATAATCACACTTTAGGTTACCAATTAAATGAAGTTCATCTTAGATTATTCAAGAAGCTAAAGCAAGATGAACAGACATGCCCAGAAAAAATATTTGTCATGCCTTACATGTATGATTAACAAAATGCAACAGAATGCATTTCGTGCATTCCAGCAACATAATTTTATGAAATCTAAACCAGTATCAATCATAATAAAGAGAAGAAAAACAACTGCATTATACATAATTCAAACAGTAGCACTCACCATGGAGGCCTTTTGGTGAGAGATCCTGAAGTAATGATCCACACTCGGTAATAAAACCAACAGCCACCTCAACACTGTCATCAGTAGGGTTCTCCAGCAAAACAGTGAGCAGTTCCAAAGCAATAATCTCATGAGCCACTTGCTGGTTCACAAGATGTGCTATAAATTTAACAGCAGCTAATAATTGAGGCTGTCCAATAATAGAGACAGTCAGTAACACATCCAACCGGAAAAAGCGGTACCCTTTAGACAATGATAAATAAATAGTTAGAATTAGTCAAGAATGGAGCAAACACTCACCTTGTCATTCCGCTTGTATGCTCTCTTAAGCTGCAAACAATCCTTCTCAACAACAAACCCCCACCTCAGGAAACTTGGTGTTAACACAGCCACCAATGCAGCAAAAACATCTGTGAACCCCGGAGATGCCATCTGAGATTTCATACATGAAGACAAAAGAGACCCCTTCCTCGAATAAGATTCTCAGCAAACAGTTCTGGAATAATGTTCTTTATATTAGTAGCATTGACTTTGTTAACTAGTCCATTGATACTTTTCCTAAGCGCATCCCATGTTAATCGCTGATATTCAACACTGCTCTTATCTTCTGTCTCTTTCATCATTCTTGCCAACTTAAATGGAGGAATATAAACTCCTCCACTCCTACCTAAATTCACCGTATCACCATTCAGGTTGGTTTGTTGCAAAGCTGGTTGTTTCTGCTTGATTTCTACTTCTTCTTTCTCCTTAAAACTGTTGACATCTCTGCTTCTACGGCTTGGCTGATTATCATTGTCTCTCCTATCACTTTTATTCTCACGCTCTTTATTTCTTTGGGACCTTCTTCTGTAATCCTCATTATCATCTGAATCATGCCGTGAATGACGGTGTCGGTCCCTATGTCTGTACCTATCTTCTTCAGATTCCCGCTGTCTATGGTTATGCCTATCCCTATGTCCATTGTCAAGCCTATTACTTCTATCCCTTTCTCCCCTCCTATCTCTCTTGGCTCTCTTCTCTTCCTCATCAGAGGACTCAGAATTTTCCTCCACTGCATCTCTCCGCCTATTCCTATCATCATCACGAAGTCTCTCTCTTTCTCGCCTTCTATCTCTAGCAGCATGCTTGTCTTCTTCTTCATCAGAAGATCTAGAATGTTCTCTCCGCCTACTCTTACCATCATCATCACGAATTCCTTGTCTTTCTCTCCTTCTATCTCTATTGTCAAGCTTATCTTCTTCATCCGAAGACCCAGAGTGTTCTCTCCACCTATTCTTAGCATCACCATCATGAATTCTTTGTCTTTCTCGTTTTCTATCTCTATTGGCAGACTTGTCTTCTTCATCAAAAGATCCAGGACGTTCTCTCTGCCTATTCTCACCAACATCACCATCTTGATTTCTTTCTTTTCCTCTTCCTCTTTCACTTTCGCGCCTCCTACCTCTATTAGCATGTTTGCCTTCTTCCTCATCAGAAGATCCAGAATGCTCTCTCCGCCTATTCTCCTCCTCATCATCATGAATTTTTTCTCTTTCTCGCCTTCCATCTCTATTGCCAAGCTCGTCTTCTTCATCAGAAGATCCCGAATGTTCTCTCCGCCTATCCTTAACATCATCATCACGAATTCTTTCTCTTTCTCGCTTCCTATCTCTATTGGCACGCTTGTCTTCTTCATCAAAAGCTCCAAAGCGTTCTCTCCGCCGATTCTCATCACCATCGCCATCTTGATTCCTCTCTTGTCCTCTTTCCCTTTCGTTTCCGCGCCTTCTATCTCTATTACCACGCTTGCCTTCTTCCTCATCAGAAGATCCAGAATGCTCTCTCCGCCTATTCTCCTCCTCCTCATCATAATTCCTGTCTCTTTCTCTTCCACGCCTTCCCCTATCTCTATCTGACCTAGAATGCCTGCTATCACGATTACGACGCCCATCACTCTCATCTCGCGAATCATCATCAGTCGATTCACTGTATTTCCTAGCCATATTATAAAATTCCTATCGAATACAGACAAGCCCGGCGAAGAAGGTGTTGAAAACCGAAACAACTAGGATAACAGAAATTCGAAACAAAGAACAAAAGGCCTCTAACCAGAGAAATTAGAAGAGGAGTAAAGGAAAGAGGTAAGGCTGACCTGAGTGAGCGTCGCGAGGGCTCGAATTAGAGATGCAGAGAGGAAACGCTGTAATTTGAATTAGAGTAAAGTCCGGTGCGGTTTCGGAGAGAAATAAGGGCAAATAGGTTGGGCTGAGACGGTATAATTTGTTAAGCTTGTTGGCCCAATTAATAAATTGGGCTTTTATTTCTTTGAAGCCTGATTTTGAAGGATATTCGGCCTACAACAAGATTACAAAATTACCTTAATAAGTAATAATTTATCATCACATAAAGGTCTTTTCTTTTTTATTATTTTAATTTGAAAGAATTTTAATCTACAGTAGTATATTTTAATTTTAAATAAAATTAATTATATTATAAAGGTCAAAAATTGGTTTAGAAGAATAGTGAAAATAGAGAAAATATGATATTATTTGTCAATCTACTCGTTGAAAAGATGAAAAAGTGAACAAAAAATTATTTTCCTTTCGACTATTACTTGCTAAATTTGAAAAAAGAAAAGAAGAAATATAAATTATATTTTTAAAAAAATTAAAAAAAATTTAAATAACCTTTTGTTCTTTTATTATGTTTAATTAAATTTTTATATTTTTATTTTAAATCAAATAAATTATCATTAATTAAAATTCCATTGATCATATTTTATTCTCATCTACATCATCTGACATAAAATAATATATAATATTATGATTAAAAATAATTAAATAATCATTAATTATAAAAATTTATTTAATTTAAAATAAAAATTTTTAATTAAACATAATAATAAATAAAATTTTATTAAAATTTTCTTAAATATTTGAAAAAATATTATGTTAAAAATATTTAATTTTGTAATTTGTAAGGCCTTGACTCACATCTTTCTCATTTTCTCCCCTTTGATCTTTGCAATTTAAAATAATTTATTTTTGTAAATAAGGATGGCACAAAATTATAATAGCTTCTCAGATTTAACAGATTCCTCTCTGCATTGAAATCTGTTAGGAAAATGCTCAACTCTTCTTCCCCAAATAATCATCGTACAACAAAAGGTCCCATAACAGGAATAAACATGAAACCATAACCCTCTTCAATGTTAGAAAACGGCATCCCAATTAACCTACGGAGACGACCGTTAATAATGAAATCAACCCCCCTAATCTTGATCCTGACTTTCATCTTTGACAAGCTTGATCATATCATCAATTCGAAGAATTGTTATGGCTGCTTCAGTTGCAAACTGGCAAAGAGAGAATGGGAAACTACTGCATTAGCCGGTTGGGTGCAAAGTTGGAAAACATACTCAAATCAAAACTCACACGTTTTTTACCTGAATAATCTTCACTTTGCTCATTGCAGGCTCAATGACTCCAGCTTCTAGGTTGTTACGAACAGTTCCATTGGAAAGGTCCAAACCCATGCTGCAACATTGAAGAGGACGCATATTTGAATACAGAACAAATGTAACATGCAGTGCCAGAACTCTCAGTAATCCAATATTTTCTTTCATGAAATTACTTTTGTTCACCATTATATGCGCTATGTATACCTTGAAAAATGTTTCTTATCAGCCTTGGTTTGAGCAGTGTGGTGATAAGCCCGAAGTTTTGCAACTAATTCAGTGGCATCTTTGGCAGCATTGACCGCAAGCACCTATTAATGATCAATGTCATTGATGTAAGTATTTACTTACCATATAAATCGATAAAAGATAAACATCTGCAAAAGCTGCAGCCTGGCCATAACTAATGCTACCTTTGGTATAATCAATAGCGATTCAGCAAACTCTGCAATTGCCAACTGTTCTCGTGATCCTAAAGTTGTGGCAAGATACTCCAAATACACAGACAAAGCAGCTTCAACTGCACCTCCGCCAGCTACCACCTAACATTGCCAACACCAAAATGGACATTAAAATGCATTATAGATATTGCATTATGACTATTGATCTAAACACTGAGGAAATATTAAAATGCTCTCTCCAAATAACCACCAAAAGACAAACAGCCATATCGTATTAAAGACACTACCACTAGAAATCCATATTCTAACAATTTAAATTCTATCAACCAGCTAATAAGCTCAAGTAAATTATTCTCTCATTAACATCAATGTTGCATCTTGAAACTGAAAAAAATTAACATTTGACAGCAAGAGTTTGAGGTTACCGTATTGGACTCAAGGGTCCTCTTCACAATAGATAAAGCATCATGTAGAGCTCTCTCCATCTCATCAAGCATATAGTCATTTGCACCTCTAAGGATCAACGAAACCTTGGAAATGATTAAATGAGAAGAGTCAGTCTCATGTGGTCATTACAAATCAAAAGGTATTGCCAACATGTGACAATCTATATACTAAACTCGGATACATAATTTCAAAACTTTTATCAGCTTGTTTAACATTTTTGCACCAAGAACAGTGACATAGTAACACATTGCTGCCTTTAGCTTCAACCAGTGATGGCACATCTCATATTAAAATAGCCCAAAAAGTTTTCTAGATAAAAAAAACAATAAAAAGAAAGGACAGAGATATCCGAAAGATACTTTATCTCAGCCCGGCTTCAAAGGAATTAGATTCAAAGTTTGGAAAAAAAAAGAGCGAGTTTAGAAGTTTTAATTTTACTCAGAGAGCAAATCACACACCGCACTTGTACTTTTGGTCCCCTTGATCATAACCACGTCGTCATCAGCAATGCGCTCCTCCACAACTTCATCTGCATATCCAAGAAATGATGAATCAAAAGTTTCCTCCCCTTCCATATCTGCAAATGTAGAAACCTGCAGATCCATCAACAAGGAAGAATTTTATTAGAAAAAGGCATTTGATAGCCATTAATAGGCCTTTTCAAACTACTAAGAGTTGTGAGAGTAATCACACAAAGTTCTTTATTTATTTATTTTTTTTAAAAAAGCAGTCAACACAAATCCAAGCTTTTCATTTTTTTCAAAAAAATTGTAAATAACAAAGTTAAAGTGACGAATGATGCAGCCCTGACTAACATATATTCTCATTAGCTCAATAAAACACAATTCAGTTTTGGCAGAATACAGTCCTAGCAAAGGATTAATTATTAACCATGAGCTTCAATTAATTCAATACCATGAGCACTGTGAATATGAACTACGTTATAGCACAAACTATAGCCTACAGTAGAGAATGCAAAAATTCCAATGGTTATGACAATTATTATGACTTTTAAGGTTGAGTACAAACATACCATTGTTGCCCCAGTTGCCTTAGCAACATGGCGCATATCCTCTTTTCGAACACGTCTGACAGCTATAGCCCCAGCCTCCACGAAATACTGAAAAAGCAATGAAGAATATTATTTTTAAAAATAAAAATCACAAAACATAAAAGCAATTAGACAAAAACAAATAAAAAAGAATCTTGCCTTGAGTGCCATGTCATCAATTCCTTTTGTCGTCAGAACAACATTGGCTCCTGCTCTAAGAAGTTTCTCAATACGTTCTTTCGTCATATCAGCTTCTCTGTTTCGACATAGACATCATCAGTGTCACATTTTATAGATATGTATGGCTGTTTAAAATTTACGCTAGGCTTACTCTAGATAATATGCTAAACTTTTATGTATTACAGACACCACAAAAATTGAAAAAAAAAAAAAACAAGGAAAGAAGCAGTAAATGAGTAATCCACAATAGCGACTGCAAACAGCTTAACAATGTAAAGATTATCACCTCTGACGAATTTTCTCAAGCTCCCTAGGATCTGTGACCAAGACTTGGACTCCCATCTGCATTTTTGTCTTCTGAAGATTAAAGTCAAGACAAGCAATCTTGGCAGGGGCAACTCTTAAGGGCATTCCTTGGGCAGCACGACCAGAGTTAAGAGCATACCCATTCAGCAGGTAGCTGTCTCTGGCACTTTTTCCATGTGCTTTCAAAATATTAATTCCCTGCAATATGAAGAAAGCAACTAATGACTGAAAACAGATAAAATGAAGCTCCAATCACAGATAATGACGCCATCTTGTAACATGAGCTTCTTCGAGAATCTTTATAAGAAATGTAATAATCAGAGTTCAACTATCTTACCTTGATTGGATATTTCACTTCTCCTCGTGCATTGGTCATCTTTACTGCTAGAACTGCTTCTACAACCTATGCAGACAAATTCAATACATGAGCTAAACAAGCATGCCTCAGGTTTGATCCCTCGTATCTCATAAATGATAGGAAAGAAAGCATTTAATGATTTCTATTCATTAAACAACAAGTAAGATAAGGAAAAAATAACAAATATAGAAATATTACTTCTGAAACTGGAAATCCTTATCATAGCACGGGGAAACAAAGTTAAAGATATATATTTGCAGCAAGTGTTTTTGACCATGAACACAGGTGCATCAGCATAGGATATAAAATTATCCAGGCAAAAACAGATAGAGCTTAGAAGGAAAGGAAAATATGGCAGTTAAACAAGTCTTCAGATGGCTGAGAGTTGAAAAATAAGTCTAAATTACTGAGCTAGGCATTATCATACCAAATTAGCAAAGAAGTCACTGTCACCAGCTATCAGCTTCGAGGACATGCTTGTCTTGGCACAATTTATTAAGGAATCTTTCCCAAGCTTCTCAACCTAATGAAGAAAAATAAGGATGAGTAGAATAAAGGCACAACAGCTATAGAACATTGCAACACCAAAAGAGCTATAGGATAGAAGTCAATCAGTTTTAGAAAATTACATATTTCACACTAAATCACTTCATATGAAAACAGAATATAAGGAATAAGATAAGGTAGAGTAATTTGGATGTGGCACAGCAAACCCCTGATGTAATCAAAGCAATAAGAGAAGTCATGGCAATCAGAAGTCTTTATACAAATGAAAACAGATCTATACGAAATGTCATCTATGGAAACCAAATTGTCAGGGTTCACATGCAAGTTAATTATTATTCACTTTTCAATCGCTTCTCCACAAGGCACTTACTTTCACTGCCAACTTTTCTTCAACATATTTGCATGCTTCCCTCATAGCAAGCTGCCCAAATAAAGAACCCAAAAACATATTCAGATTATGCCATATGGATATCTTATAAACAGAAAAATATGAGCATGCTAGAGGAGGAAAAAGTTACTCACTCTGTAGCCACTAATTATAGATGTTGGGTGAATTTTATTCCTGACCAGATCATTTGCTCTCTGTCAAATTGTAAGTAAATCACATATTATCAAGTCACTATCTCTCAATGGTTGAAACATTCTTAAAAAGCAACAAGGCTCTGAAATGAGTATTTTTATACACATATAAAACCCTGTAAACAAATGGATGTAGTTACCTTGAGAAATTCTGCAGCTACAATAACAACCGAGGTTGTTCCATCACCAACTTCTCTATCTTGAAGCTCAGCCAACTCTACAAGTACCTGCCACCTCAAAGAAGAAGATTAAACATAAATTACAGCAGTAAGGGAGTAAGGCAACAGCAAATCTCTCATTTCAACATGCAAAATCTGGCTATTTATCCACCTTGGCAGCTGGATGCTCTACTTCTAACATCTTGAGGATCGTAGCACCATCATTTGTTATCGTTACATCACCGATATCATCGACAAGCATCTGAAAACAATCAACAAACCAAGCAGCAAGTTAACTTAAATCATCAAAACAGATACACGGCCAAATCAAAATTTAAAAAGTTCTAAAAATAAAAACAACTGCAGCATCACTGGTACATCAATAAATCTTATAAGAACATTACAGCAGGACATTTTCCTGAAAACATTGTAATAATCATCCACCTCGCACTGAAATTAAAACTACAAGTACTTCATTTTTTAAATAATGTTTCTAAATCCAGCCCAATTATAAAACAAAAAAGAAAATATAACAAAAAAAATACAGCAGATAAAAGTAATACTAAGGCCAAAGCAAATGGGATTTCGGCATTTCAACGGAAACCAACGGAGGAAATCGTTGCTGTCTCGTACCTTGTCGAGTCCAACCGGTCCAAGTGAGGACTTAACAATGTTCGCAACTGCTTGACATGCCACCACTATCGAACAGGCGCATATGAAAAACGATAAAGCAAAAACAAACAAATACATTTCAGCGAAATTTGTTAAATAAACAAAGCACGGCAGGGAAATAGAAGGGAGAGAAAGACATAGTACCGTTTTGAGTGCGAACGTCCTGACCAGATTGGCGCTCGCCGAGAATATCTGGAGCTTGTGCTGCAATCGACATTTACGGCTAAAGATTCAAAAAAAAATAACAAAAGAAAAAGAAGGGAGTGAAAGACAAAGAGTTGGCGACGAAACCCTAGATCGGGATCTGTGGGTGGAGAAGAAAGGGACTTGCAGAAGTAGAAGAAAGGGAAGTAGGAAGTGGGAAATGACTCTCGCTCGAATGTTCGTAAGAGAGGCTTTAGGTTCAGGGTTCTACACTTCTTCTACTCTGCTTGATAGTTTAATGGGGGTGTTTTTAGCTTGCGCCAGAACGAGAAAGGGTTGTAACAGACGACGTCGTGTTAGGTCCAAAATGATGATTGCGATACGAAAAACCCGGAATTTTCCTTGGGGTGCGTTTAACCCTAAAGCCCGTAAGCCTTCTCCCGAAGCCCAACCCAATTTTTTGGGCATTTCTCCTCTCTCGGCCCTTTTTTTTAAAATAAATGTCATATATTTTAAACATAATTTAATATTCAAAATTTTAATGTGATATTCCAATTTTCATTTTATTTCCAATGTGTCCTAACATCTAGTATTGTTGATAAGAATCTGAAAATGTGTCAATGAGTCAAGTATATCAAATTATATAAGCAAATAAATATCACATCACTTTTTTCAGTCAATGAATAAGATAAATATGTGATATAATTTCATTTTTTATACTTAAAATTTTTTAAAAATAATATGAAAATTAGAAAATAATATTGTACATTTTAAAAATAAAAAAACTTTATAAAATAATTTTTTTGAAAATAATATAATTTAATATAAAAAATCGACTTTGTAATGTGAGAATATATCCCTAATTTTGTAAATATATTTTTATAAGTTGAATAAGTGATAATGCAACAATAATTGTACATCCCTAGCATTAGAGAAGAAAATTTTCTTTGGTTTAAAATAAACGACCTTGAAAATTGAAATGATGATCATGTTGTAAAATGTCAATGTGATAGAGCTTGCTTAACCTTGTCACCAAGCATTTAACACAATGTAAAAATCTCAATGCAATTTAATCCCAATGCTTATATGCTACTTAACTTTTTAAATTTTAGTAATATAAAAAACTTGATGACAAAAGTTAATAAATTATCATGAATTTAATTGCGGGATTCAAATATATATATTTATTAAAAATCACCTTAATGTAATATTCATTAATTATATTAATTAAATGTTTTATTTTTTCATCATTTTTTTAAAAGAATAAATCGAAAAAGTTACATCAAAATTTAAAAAGTATTAATTTTAGGAAATATTAAATCAACTAAATGATAAATTAAATTATTGAAAAGTATAAACCATTTTGGACATTGAGAAAAGTACTGATTTTGGGCTTGGCCCAAATATTCAAAAAGTGCCACGTGCATTGCACGCCACTTCTACGATATTCTTCCCCAGGTCCCACCTGAACCGCCAATTCCATTTTATTCTTTTTTTGAGGGAGGAAAAACCGCCAATTTCTTGATTTTCATCGTCGCAGAAGGATAATCCCACTATGACACTCGCAGCCGTCACTCTATCATCCCCTCTCAGTCTCGCAACCAAATTAAAACGACGGCCACATCCTAAAATCACCTGCTCGTCCGTCACTACCCAATCGCAGTCGGCCAAACAGGACCTCCTCAATCTCATTTCCGACCAAGGCCGGGGCCTTAAAACCCGAAGAGACCCTGCCAAACGCGATGCAATCATCAAAGCCATCGATGCCATGGCCATCCTGGGTCACGAGACCGTCACCACTGGCGATTCCCTCTCCGCCACGTGGCGGCTTCTATGGACCACGGAGAAAGAGCAGCTCTTCATTATAGAGAAAGCTCACCTGTTCGGTACTCGAGCCGGCGACGTTTTGCAGGTCATCGATGTCGAGAAGAAGACTCTCAATAACGTGATCACGTTTCCACCTGATGGAGTTTTCTTCGTTCGATCCAGCATTGAAGTTGCTTCCTCTCAGAGAGTGAATTTCAAGTATTTATTCAAACTGAAATCAATTTTAGTTGTTGTTTTTTTTCTCTCGATTAACTATTTAGTAAAGTTTTATTTGCATTCTTTAGATTTACGAGTGCGGTTCTGAGGGGAAAAAGCTGGGAGATTCCGTTGCCGCCGTTTGGGCAGGGTTGGTGAGTTCCTTATCCTTTTTTGAAATATTTGTGCTGCGTGATTCGAAATGCTGATTGTTGATTGGTCCTTTACATGAGGAATTATTGGTTCCAAGTTAAGCATTAGCCAATTAGGTCGACTCTTCCTAGCTGCCTTTTGTTGAATTACAATTCGACAAAACATGTTGTGTGGATGGTTTGAAGTTTCATCCCTTCATCCAACTTAAATACTAGCTATTTTGTTCTCTTTTATGGTAATTTCTTGTTCATGTACGTCTTATCCGACCTCATCTCTTTCTCTTCTGTTTAGATAAAGCAGAAAGGGACACGGCCTTGGCTGCTATGGTTTAGTTTTATTACCATTACTGCCATGTATCACTGATATCGAGGTTTTATGTAGGTTCGAGACTGTCTATCTTGATGATGATTTTCGAGTTGTGAAGGATATCAGGGATGATTACTTAGTTGTTGAGCGTGCTCCATATAACTGGAAAGAATAAAGTGCATGATTTTTCCTCTAGTCATAGTAATCAAATGTGAGTCCCTTATTCCTATAATTGAAAATTAATTGTACATATGTCATTTCTTCCTTCTTCTTTTTTCCTGCTTTGCTTTGAGGTGGGTTTGATTGCGGTTTGTGCTTTAGGATGGGTAAGAAATACTAATAACTAGAGAAGCCGAAATCTGTGCTCGTTTTGTTTCTCATTTCTTTTGGTGTTACCTCAGTATGCATAGTTCTTTCCTTGCATGCACATGTATGTATTTGAGGAAATACCATAAAGGCTTTTCTTTTTACTTTTTTCCATTATTTTAATCAGGTGAATATTCCAGGGATGTGCCTCTGCTTCCAAACAATTATCTGCAGGATTTATGGCCTCTTCCTCTTTCTCCTGGTGACACAAACATTTAACATGCAATGTATATTTAACAAATATATACTGTACATGTGAATATTTTCAGGAGTATGAAGGCAGAATTAGAGCACATGGTCTTGTAACTGCTGATGACTACATACTTCAATGTTGATGCTCTCCACAATCCTTTTTTTTGTATTATATTTCTGCTTCACGCATATAAAGTTTTTTAAATTCGACTGATTGACTTGGTGCAATAATTCTCATATTTATTCAATTTCAAACTCAACTCGTATGTTCTTTTTTTTTCCTTTTCCCTTCATTAAACAGCTTTCAACTTACTGCACACAATATTCTACTCATTTTTGCCTCAAATGTCAAATATATGAAGCCTTCACTGTCATGGCATATTTGTCTTGTTAGATCATACTCACGAAGACATATTGTGATCATTCTGTTTCAGTTTTAGACACATATCAATTAATCAGAGAATTATCTGATGGTGCTTCTTTACTTGATTTCATGGGCCTTTTCTCCTTAATATTCTTCACATTGTTGAGGATCATTTCAGGATTGGAGAATCAATAACTTTTTGTAACCTTCTGCTTCTAATTATGTATAAATGTTTTTCTTTCATACTTCTAGTTTGAGTTTGGTTTCAGGTAATTTTGTTAGCCTGAAGGTGCAAAAAGATGAGGGTTCAATTTGTCCCTAGCTGCGTGCAGTTTTGTTATTTTTCAAGTTGCTTGCCTTTGCTAAAATGATCCTCACAAAAAGATTTTTTCTTTCAAGATTAAGTTTGTGCTCGTTAAATGGTGTGTCAAATTAATCTAGATATGTCTAATATAATTAAAGGGGCTTGGTAACTTGAAGCATTGCAGAAGATACATGGGGGCATGTTGGTTGATACCTCTGTTTTACATTGTAGGCATGGAGTTCTCATAGTCTCCTTGTTCCATTACCAGGAATTTTTGTATTTGTAGTTTTATGGGAATGCTTTTTAATTCGAATTTGGTTTGACTTAAGCTAGCTTGTGTGGGCCTCTATGTCAATGTATGTACATACACATGTAGGCACACCTGCATTCACACTTTCAAAAGCTTATATGCAAAGACCAAATAATAAATGAAAATGACTTGTTATCATTTGCCTGAATATATTCTTGTGGATGGGAATATGCCGAATGAACAAACAGACTTGTTATAAATAGTAATAGGCAATCATGGGCCTGGATTATGAGGAAAGGCACTCGTGCATCTGATGAGGATGAAAGGTTGTAGATGGCAAAATCGGGTGTTATTTAGAGAAACTTTTGGAGGATCATTGTTTCATGCTTGCTTTGCTTGCATTAAATCATATTAGGATATTGTTGGGAGTTTTAAACCTTTAAAAGGAAACATGATCAATGGAAACACTAGGGAAATAATGGAGAACTTGAATTTTAAGAGCTTAGAAAAAGGAAAGGTTTGAACTGGTTTTGTTTTCACTAAAAGCTTCACAAAAATCCTCAATTATATGTGTCCATGAGATTTTCTATCCCATCTTTTGTGTTTGAACTTATAGACTCTCACTTGTTACTTTCTAGTAACCAAAATCTACATGCTCCTTGTATGGCTTCCATCTTCCCACGAGCTTCCAATAGTCCTGCCTCCTTCCCCACAGATACTGCAAAAGAAAAATGAATCAATGCACTCCAGTTCTACATGAAAAAGTTGCAAGGTAGTCCTGCTTTTTCTCCTCTGTGCCACATATTTTCTCTGAAAAACTTGGATGACCTTTCAGGATAGTTTTGCAATTTTGTTATTTCTCCTTAAAATTTGTGAGCGTGCAGTGCAAATTTGTCAAATATAATGCTTGTTTGTAAATTTGTAGGGTTTGGCATCTTAAGGGCGTGGCTGCAGTTGTATCAATTAACAGTAATGCATCGTGGAATGAATTTATTTATTGATCTCCTTCAAGGTTGAAATTAGATTACTTATTCTTTTTGCTTTTCATCCCATTTCATGTTTCTTTTTTCTCCCATTTGTTGCTTTTGGTCTCTGTGCTCTTATGAGTAGGTTATCTGATGAAGTGGTTGTCTAATGGGTTTAATTAGTCAATTTTATAAACAGGTTCACATCTAAAATATTTATAGATTGTTAATTTCAGGGTTGGGAAGGATATTTGTGATGATTGTTTTGGTGGACTTTGCTCCTTATGATTGGATGAAGTTGTATACAACTCTCAGTTTAATTTTTCCATTATTGTTTGCATGATTTAGACAGTTTAAGCTGCGATAATATTG